TCAAATGTATTTAACATTTCCTCTTCTGTATATGCATAATACTTATTTTTTTTTTAATTTTATTTATTTATTTTTTTATTTTTTTATTTTTTTTTTATTTTTCCCCTATGAGCCTGTACTTCGATCCTATTATTTTTGTAACTGTATTTGTATCTGATATTTTTAATTTGTATTTTTTATTAGAATTTATTGTGAATGTGCAAAATTACCATAGCAAATTGCAACAACAAATGTCAAAACGGTAAAACGAATGCAATCTGCCCTTGTAGGCCAGTAAATGATCTTGTTAACATCCTAAAAAGCTCCCGAGGCGGCCTCTTGAGGCCCCAGGGAGTTGTTCCTGGTTAGTGGAGGGCGCGGGACACAGGCCTGTTTACCTCTGTTAGACATCAGGCGTCCCCGTCCTCCGTTACCAACCAACCAATGTATAGTGTATTTGCAGCATGGGGTCACTTTAAATATTTGGAGAGATGAAAGTCCTGTCATGTGGTTTGGCGGTAGTGGGAAAGAGATGGAAAGGCCCTCGGCTCAGACAAAAAAATAGTTGTTGTTTGAAATATGGGTTCCCTCGCTACAGCGCTATCCCTGTGTAATATTGGTGGCCGATTTTCGAACACATGACAGTCTAATAATTGTAAGCAGAGTTCGTAGTTCAGAAGATACAGCATAATCAAGAATTAGAGTCCTAAGGGTGACACATAAGAGTTTGTAACAATGTAGGGAACACACACACGAACAAATGTTGGCCGATCAATTCCATTAGCTAGCCTGTGGTGCCGCCTATTAGGCAACCTACGATTGAGGGTAAATGTGCAACCAAAAGAAATGCCTTATTGCAACCAAAAGGAGTCCAAGCGTCTTTCATACATATCATGCAATCAATATAACATACAAATAACATTAGAAAAAGAAATATAATTAAAAATAAGTGAATTTAATAGGCTATGAGTAATTACATACTGTTTTATAACATAGACACATACACATATATAAAAGCTGGCCAAGAGCTAGGGAAGATTCCTAAGCACCACTAAGGATCTTTTTCTGTTTACATTGCTTGTATAATCATAATACAGAATAGGTATTGTGGGATTCTGAACGCAGATTTTATCAAGAATCCCAGATGCTTGGCTATTAAATTGATTCAGGTATTTTGATTCACGGTGAATTGCCAAGTTTCTGATAAACCAACGACAATTCACCGCTTCAAGAAGTATAACCTTTTGTACCACTTGAATTCTCTTAATAGAGGTAATGGATGCAACACCCCAGACGGGACAGGCATAAGTGAGCATGGGGCGCAAAATAGCCTTGTAAATCAGTAATTTATTGTCTATGGATAAAACGCAGTTGCAAGAAATTAGTGGGATAAGGGTACGTTTACGGAATTTGGATAGAATATGTGTAATGTGATGGGACTATGTGAGCAAGTCGTCTAGGATAACGCCTAAGTATCGGGTCTGCTTAGTTCAGGGTATAGGAGTTCCAAACATTTGGTCCCGCGAGATGCTGTCTCTCAAAATTGGGGAGGAACTGAACAGAAGACGTGCTTTCATCTGCTTGGGACTCGAGGCTCATCATCAAACGTCAGGCGCAAAAATTGCACTCTTAACTACGGTAATATCTGTAGGTTTGTTCTGAATATGTCAGACAAATAAGATACCACAACAACAACTTTACTGTCGATTTGTACCTTTTTATGATACATTTCCACAGCACGTTTCCTTTAGTAACAAATGATTTCAATGTTTAGAAATTAGAACATTCTTGAAATTTCATCAATATTCTGTGATTCTAAAAATAACTGATAGCCTCTGTTTTCTTATTCTTTAGGTTTCACATACTTACGAAAAAAATAAGAAATGCGTAACATTTGTAGAAGTTAATGGAACAAGCCTAAACACGAGTTTAAAAGAATATTTTAAAAACTAAACCGCGTTTGCAAAATCAATCGGGAATTTCTTTTGCAAAGTTCGGCTATTTCGACTCTTCAGTCATCGTTTGACACCACAAATATCGAAAAATGAACATAGATTTTAAAATATTTATGAAGTTTAATAATTAAAATATAAGGCACGTATATATTGGTACGTATCAATATGAACTACACGCGTTAATTCAAAATTCCAAATTAATTTCCGAAAGGTTTCAATTTAATTTCTAAGCAGAAAAGCTTTCTGAATTTGTTATATCATCTCTAACGTAGCAATATATAGCCAATTTCTATAAGAATACTGAACAGGGCAAGACTATCGCCGGTTCGGTTGCTCGAGGTGGAATGGGCTGGCTGTATGAAGTTTTCGTGGTTTTCTAAATGTATGATAGAGACAGGACAATTTCTTTCAGAAAGCGCTTTTTAGAAGTTTTTTTAATAAATAGCCTAATAAATTGGAACACGCACAATTTAATGAGAAATGTGCTCTCAAAAAACAAGGTTAATAGTTAGATTCTGAAGCGCTCTTTTACTCTGAAGCCCAAAACATTGCTCTTAGCTTTGAGTTCCGAGAATTTTAACTAATGAGAAAAGTAGGAAATGACATTGAGCAAACTTCCACTAATTTGAAGAATAAATGACTTCTGCTGAATATTCAAGTTAACGATTGAAAATTGTAGCTTAAATATGTAAGCAGAAAGCCACAAAATTGGTGGCTGATTCGGAACTTTTGCTAGAACATGAAAAGTTAGAAACGGATAACCCTCAAATGGTTTGTCGAGGATTAACAGTATAAATAACGCATGAAATGGTATATTCTGTCTTTTTGATAGGGATAAAGAAATGTTCATTATTGTTGGGAAGGAAACATTAAACGCATTTGAAATCATTCAGCATATACGCTGACTGCGTGGGGTTTAAGTGATCTTCCTAAGATGGAACTTAAATAGTAATAATATTTTCTTAAGGTAATATTACTAAGCCTATGGATCTCGAATGCTTTGCTATAATACATAATCATACAAAGGGTATTTACACATTTTTAGAACGATTTTGGGACCATTTAATTAATGTTTAAACTGAAAAGAATATTTATTTTAATGGTTCGATGTGACAGCCTGTTTTTTCGACTATTTGTCTGCATCATGATTTCTGTAATAAAAGAGCTTTTTGTAAAATTTCCCGTGGTATTCATTTCCATTCCTCTTCTACTACTTTCCAGAGTTCATCAATCGTAGAGTGTTTGGTCCTCAAAAAAGGTTGTTTTTTTTCCCAAGTCCAGTAGTCCATAGTTATAGAGACGAGACCAGTAGTCCATAGTTGAAACCCCAGGGAAGTGCGCAGAAGTGCAATACCTGTATCAGTCTTCAAAATTTCAAATAATGTAGTGTATGAAGTGTGGTTTGTTGCTCTGTCTTGATGACTTTTTACTGTCTTGATGAAGTTACAAGTTTACAATAGCCTAGCTAAAATACAGTTTTTCAATGCTAGAATATTGAAGAACTATGTAGCGACTATTCAGAGTTCTTGCGCGTAGGTAACAACTCCAGAGAAGGGTTAAAATACCCTTTTATTCTAACTTAAAATAGATTGACAGATTGGACCCTCTTGGGCGCACAAGAAGCCTCTACTTGGGCTTGAACTAAAAATAAAAGGTATAAAACTAAACTAAAGCTAAATTAATCAGCCGAGGCTGCACAGAATCAATATATTTGTCCCTTAGCTAAGAATCACCGCCGTATGCTAACAATCCCGTAATACGTGCGACAGTAGAATAGCAAGCTTTAACTAATAGCAACAAGGTGGCCAAAAGGCACAGCACGCTTTCCTGCTGAAGTAACTCAAACCTCAACTTATCCTAAATTTTTTGGGATTACAATACTTTCTCTACTTCGGACAAGGAAATAAAAATGGTGTTAAAATGATAGTCTGGAGGCAAATAGAATAATTAAAAATTTTGATCCGCCCTCAATAACATTTCCTGTGGATTTGATTTCGAAATATAACACTTAATATTACTGACTTTAAACATAATGTAAGCGTATCTTTGTAACATTTGCTTTCAGTAAAATGTTTCACTTTATGTTGTTCTAAGTTTACATTAAAAAAAAGAAGCTATATGTGCCTATTTGGATTTATTTCCTGCCTATAGGTGGGAACTGCTATATTACAAAGCTATTTTTGCTATATTGCAAAGCTCTGATTTTCTTCTTTCGAAAAAAAAATTACTTCTTGAATACTTTGTTTATTCTCCAGTAATAAAAATATAATCAGAGACGTTTAGTGCTGAAACAACTAATGATAAGCGAAAGGATCGGAAAGATACAATTTACAAAACTATATAGTCTCTAAGGTTAAGAAAAACATTCTTTCTCAGTTTCGGAAAAGAAAATGCGGAAAAAAAGTACTTACGTGAGAACATACAGAAATTCGAGAATACTGTAGCTAAATAATGGGAAAAAAGGGCCTTACGGAAAAATGAGAGAGAGAGAGCAGCTACAAAACAAATTCTTGAAAAGCTAAAGCTTACAGTTGAGATCACGAATCTGAAGTGAAAGATTTTTATGAATATAAAACGCCTCAGGAAACCTAATTCATCAGTGGACGAAGTTATTCAAATAATTTCAAGGCCGTGCTTTTCTTATATATAAAACCACACCGGAAAAGAATACTATAGGCACCCATGAAGCATTAACTGTACTATAAATATATAGTATAGTAATGGTTTAAGCAGTAGGTATAGACTTATACAATATATGTATTAAGGCTTATATTTATAGTTTATGCTATAGATGTACCAGGAAATTATAAATATTGAAATCTTCGAATGTGCTTTAGCATTTATTTTCTCGGAGTGTTCTTCCCCCCAGAGACTGTGAATGTTAATGAAACTGATTATTAATACATAAGGTTTTAAATACCATACATTGCCATTTCACAAACTTCATAAGAAATATGTAAAATTATTATGATTTCATTTATATATACATAAAAAAGTTCCAAACTCATGTTAAGACTATACATAAGAAAAAACTAATTTATACTGACAGGAATCAATGATTCTTACCTTCACAGGCGCTGACGTCTTCGTTGTATAAGTAACCATGGTCGCATTCGCATCGGAAAGACCCTATGGAATTGACGCACTTTCCTTTTTCGCATATTCCAGGGATGGCTTCGCATTCGTCCACATCTAATGAAGTAGAGAAAACAAAAATTAAGTTTACTACCTTCATTGGTAAGCTCTACGAATATCTTCTACTCTTGAAAAGACACTACAGAAAGAAACCGCATGCGATGCAGTACACTCAGTTCTTAAACCTTATTGCGGATGTTGCGGAGATAAGATCACGACGAGCTTAAGCCTGTGGAAAATCAATTTTAAGGAGTTTTCTTTGGCTGAAAGTTTGTAGAAGACCAAGAATACTTTTTCAGATCTAAAGTTTGACCCGTTGTTCTAAGATGGGATTTCTTGTACCAATTTCGCTTTAGGTCTATATAAATTTGCTAAAGCGTTTTTAGTTATAGATGGATGTAAAGGATATAAAAAAATGTCCTTTTAATTTCCAGAAAGCATTAAGCATGATTTAATTCGCAATAATACATGAATGCGTTATCTTTGTTGTTGCGAAGCTTAGTCTCTCTATACGGCACATCTACTAATTATGATTACAAATTAAAAAATATTCCTCCCATGTTTATTTAAAACTTACTGCACTTAACAGCTTTTAAATGTTGATAATTGTACAAATATTGCTTCCAGATTACGAAAGGCATAAACCTTACCGAATATAAGAACAACATAATTCAATCATTTTTAAAGCAAAAATCATGTGATGCACGATTTACAAACATATAAGAGTAAAGAAACTGAGATCACTGACCAGTAACAGAGTGGATAATGTATAAATATTTTATAACGTTTGATGCGGCAATTGCAATCAAAAACGATTCACATCTACATGTTATAGCATCCTATATACCAAATTTCAACGTTCTGAGGCTACCGTTTTTGAGTTATGCGAGATACTACGTACATACGTTCGTACAATAGGTACTACTAATACGTATGTACTTACGAAAAAGTCTCTTTAAATTCATTTTTTAAGCCTTTTTAATAATTTTTTGGAGGAAAAGAGTCTTTTATTCTGTCCTTACGTACAGATATCACGCAAAAACATAGTTAAATTGCGTTCGACAGCGGTCAAAATGGATATTTTCGGTGAACTATGCTGCCTGAACCGTTTCGCGATTTAAATACTTCCTTTTTACTTTGTACAAGGAAGTAAAAAGAGGGATCTACCTATGTCACTTTAAAAAAAAAGCCCATATTCCAAGCTTTTGCCTCTAAGACTATAAGGTATTTCTCCCACTTCCCTAGCGTGCCTTCGTGGTGTAGTGGTTCTGCACTCTGGGCCGGTATTCCAGAGGTCCGTGGTTCGATTCCCGGCGAAGGCGGTTGCTATTTTTCATCTCTCTTACTTTCAAAAAAATGACTCTACGAGTGTGGCGCCCGAACTAAAAGGGTTGTGGATGATGATTCTCCGCACCCAGGATTTGGCGACTAGGTCCCCTAAAACCCTAGTCGCCCTTTAAAAAGGGGGGTATGTAAGGTATTTCTCCCACTTCCCTCACGTCCCTTCGTGGTAAAACGGTAGCACGCTGGGCTGGTATTCCAGAGGTTCGTGGTTCGATTCCCGGCGAAGGCGGTTGCATATTTTCATCTTTTCTGCTCCCAATTAACCTAATGACTCTACAAGGCAAAACAGACTTTATTAAATTCTCCCGAAATGTATACAGCTTTTCTTACCGTGTGAAACAAAATTTTGTTATTAAATTATTCTTATTTAATTAAATAAATTAAATATTATTTTATTTAATTTAACAATATTTAATTTATTTCCATTTAAATCATTTTAATGACTATACACTTGGTTTATCACACAAGTACTACACTGGTGTGCAAAATTTAAGCAACAATGTAAATTTTAATCAGATAGCCATCAAATTGTAGAAAAGGGGTTCTTGCGTTCAGTACAATGAACACGCAATTCAGTAGAAAGGTCATGTGTACGCAAATGTCAAGAAAAAAAAATGTCACAGGCTACGTGAGCGTACGCAAAACGCGTACGGTCGTCACGCTCAACTCGAGACTACCATAAAAGGAAGGATGGCGACGCAATTAAAGACATTCGCTGCAAGTACATGGAGTTCTTTCGTGAAATAGACGAAATGATCTGGATGACTTCACATGTGGAAGAATGATCGAAAATCTGGAGTAGGGGCGAAGTGTTACCAGTATAGTTGAAGAGTTCGGAATCAAAAAAAGTGTCGTTTCGCGTGCTTGGAAAGCCTTACAAACCATAGGTACGGCTGTTAGAAAGGTTGGTGGTGGTCGCCCAAGGAAAAAAACTGCAGTGGATGACCGATATATTGTCCTGCAGGCGAAAAGAGCCCGAAACCAGTCACCACACTCCATAGTTCAACAATTGTGTACAGCAACGGGGCGACAAGTGTCGCGGTTTACTGTGTCCAGACACCTTCACAAAGGTGGCTTATTCGCCTGCCGTCCTGAACGCTGCATCCCTTTGAAAGTTGGCCATCGGCGTCACCGTTTACAGATTTTACAGAATCTTACAGAATTTATAATGTCTCGATATATTCTTAAAAGGCCAATGCTGCCATCTCTTTCCTTTGAAAAGATTCTCAAACATATTTTGTAAATTCTGTGTACTTTCGGAACTAATAGGCAAATAACGTAAACTCACTGCTTGGCACGAGACTTGAGCAAAGCGAGTAATTACATGAATAGAGGTAACAAATGCTGGACAAATATAGCTCATCATTGGTCGATCCAAAACGCTTGGCACGTAAAGGTCGTATCACACATTTAAAACATTTCGGAAGAATAACTCTATAGGACATTTTTTTTTTTTTTTTTTTTTTTTAACTTTGTCACAAGTTATGAAACATCCAATCCCTGCGGATCGTTTTGCAATTAGCATGTAAAGAGGAAACTAGTTCTCCATTTCAAATAATGGCTGATGAAGGGAGACTCGATTATGATAGCTGATTGGTTGTTGAAAACGAACAACTTATAATTTTTTCGAAAGAAAGGAAAAAATCGTGTGTCTCTTTCATAGGTAAAGCAAGTAGAAATTTCACTTGAAACAGTTATTCATCTGAAATAAATGTGTGAAGCCAGCGTTAAGGATTCCAAGTGTTCCTTTTCTTTCTTGTGTTCTATCGAATGTACTTTACCGCTTAAAGTTTTTTTAAGCTAAAGGATTTTAATTCAAAATTAATTGAAAAGCGAAAGGTATTAATTTAAAGCCAAAGGCTTTTAAAGGCAGTTCATTGCATTATAAGAAATTATTGCAGTTCCCCGTGTGTACGCTCGTGGGGTAAGTGTTTTAGCTAGCAAATGGAAGATCGCATTTAGAACTCTGGTGAGGGCAAAATTTATTCTCAAATTCAAAATTTATAATTTTCTGATTTCGAAATATATAATGGCTTCTATAATGACGGCTAACATAATGTATGGTGACGATAACTTGCTATCACCTAGATTTGGTCAGATGGGTCTTATATGTTTCCAAAATCATCCGTCAAGAGGAGGAGAATATAAGGAATTATCGCTTTTACGTGTGCGCATGCTGTCTTGATGGAAATGGCTAGCATATCCTGCTAGCAATTAAGAGATCAGCCGTTCGAATCCCGGAGAGGATGCAGTTGATGTTTCATGACCATGGTCCTATATATGTTTAAAATTTTCTGCCATTGACCAAAAAACTGACTGATTCAAAGGATACTGCCATTGACCAAGTCAGTTCGCACACTTGAATGATTGAGACGTTTACAAGATAATGAGGATAATTTTATTGTCTTCCACATCATTTTCCAGTAGCAGGGCTCTGGTAAAGCCTTCTACACTGAATTTTGGTGACGTATATCAATTTTTCTACTTATATATTACTATTTCCATCACACTTGACGAAGTTTTCCCTTATTTTCTGAACATTTCTTTCATTCGCCATGGAATACCAGTCGATTGCATTTATTATTAAGGATTGTTTCAATTCCTTAAAATTGTGGAAACTGAATGATGTCGCCGAGCAGAATTCAGTCTCTATAAAAAGCAAACAGTCACTGTACATAGGGGTTAGATAGGTTATAACAGCTGTGAAGTTTATGGTAAGGGTTATTTACCTGCTAATTATATGCTTTTGGCAAATGCCAGCTTGGAGAAAGTTACTGAATACTGTAAAGATCAGGCCAGACATGAATACATTCTTTCTCACTTCATTAAAAGCCGTTCCCTAGAATTTATGGATGGTTGTAGCTCTTACAGATTGAAAAGAAAGTTCCTTTCATGAAAGATTGAAATAATTTCGATTTTTACCGATGATATTTTTGATGATTTTTATCGACGAACAGATAAATTTCTGTTGAATTCTAGCCTAGTTAACTTAATTTAACAACAATTTAATTTGCTACTTTTTCTTATTAATTTTCCATTTTATTTTGTTCTACGTAAAAAAGATCCATATAAATTTCACATCAAATTGCGAATTATTAGATTTCAATATACATAAATCTCCATGGAAAAGCACATCCATAGCTTCACCAGTCCAAGTCAACAATTAGCTTTGATTTTCAGTATCAGTCTAATGATAACTTGTAAGTCTTGTTGTAAATGAATATGGTTATTTATAGCAACAGCATTTTGTGGGGTAAAACAGACCGAATTGTAGACACCGGGAAAATTATATATTCAAAGTCATGACGATAAATGTCCATGATCTGTAATCTGAAAACCAGTTATTGTTGGCTTTGTCAACTGCAATGCCTGAAAGGAAGAATAAAACAGACAAATTAGGGAGATCCTCAAGGATCACGGTTTCACAGCAAATATATTGCATTTCTCCTGTAATTTGGGTTTCTAGTTCAATATTATTCAACAATATTGCCTAAACGTTCGTCGTTCTTTTGCCATATCATTTCAGCCAGTTTATAGTAATTCTTAATATTAAATTGATAACTGAAATAGAATAGGTTCGTTCTTTTGAATATTTGATATAGAATAAGGTTACGAAGTTGTACCACCGCTTAAGTCCTGCCTTTCCAATAGTAGGTGTAATATCATGTCAACTGCGCTTTTTTGGGCAGAAAGGGGTAAACCCTAGTCAACTA